GACTACTTAGGCTAAAAGTGGACATTGTCACAGCCTAGTTAGTGCTGGTACATGGCTCTGTTAGAAGATTAGAATACCTAACTTTCTGAACTTCAGCTTTGCAGTATAATGCAGAACCCGTGTATATCAAAGAAACTGATTTTATGAAAGATTTGATCCTGCAGCTATAGTATATTTGGGAAAAAACCCAACAATCAAATGATAGGATTTCATCTCAGTTCACATATGAAGGCTTTTAATAGTGTAATTATTAAATTTAGATAACCCATTAAACTGTTCATTATAATATTTGATGTTATACATGCAGCAACTGGACTTAAATCTGAGTACCCCTGAACTTACTTGTTCTATTTGTATGCTTTATTGTTCGAGGAGGAAGATGCTCATGCATAATTCCCCTGTGAATTGTTGGTATAATATTAACAATAGTAAGTAGTCTGCTTGAGTAATTAATCATGTGAAATCCCTATGCTGAGAGAAGATAGTGGGTATCAGCCTAGGTTTTACATACTACTGTCATTTATTAGACTGATTGATTGAATGAGGAGGAAGAATGGCTGCTCTCTGTTAACATTAATCCTTATTTCTGAATTTTCATGTCCCTTTGTGTATTGACATGTGATTGTGTGTTTAAATGTGTTTGTTTTTCTCTAAAGAGACTTCTAGTTGAGAGCATAGGAAAGGAGTGTTGCAAAATGGAAAGTTTCAATCTTTGCCCCTGAGCCCCATCCTAGTATATTTCTGACAATGCTCTTGCTATAAATATTGTTGCTAAAAATGTTTTGGTTTACAAAAACAGTAATGGACCTTAGTTTCACAACAAAGATTACACAGACTACTGTTGGATTTGGGCTGAGATTGCTGCTGAGCAGCTCCTGTGGGTCTGCTCCTTCCATATCTCGTTTAATTATTACTAATGCGTACAATTATAGCAGCTATTGAAGCCTTTATAGGTAATAACATCATGTAGCTGACTATCAGTTTGCTGATTGCACTACTTTTACTACAGAACCAATTGGAAGTATGTCTTCCATGGAGGTGAACGTGGACATGCTGGAGCAGATGGACCTAATGGACATGTCTGACCAAGAAGCACTTGATGTCTTCTTAAACTCAGGAGGCGAAGACAATAATATGCTTTCTCCCATGCTGGGTATGATACTAGTAATGACAGAGTGCTTAGAGACAAAGTGATAAATCACTGGAATTGCTCTAATTTCTAATGGATTATGTTATCTCATAAAACATTACACTTTATGTAGATCGAATATTTTTCATTAGTGGTTTTCAAAACATTAACATTTAGTTGCAGTACAAGAGAGCTTGCTGCAAAACTACTTGATATTTCTGGACTGTCTCTTTTTTCATCTAGTTGCTACAGCTTCGTGTTGTATTTGTCACGGTATGGATAGGTGATGTGTTACATACTGCTTTTAAAGTGCATTTTTCTCTGTATAAAGTTAATAGAGGACATTTTAACAAACATCAACAGAAAGTTTGCAGTAGTTAGGTTTTTATTTTTAAGACTGCTTTCTCAGAATTTATCCTGAATTTTGGCATTTTGAAGTAAATCTGGACCTGTTGTATAGTGCAAGATCTTCAGTGAGAGATATTCAGAGACATGGTTCAACGTAGCAGTTCATATATGTAAAACATGACAATGTTCTGGAAGCTTCTAAATAGCGATTCTGATACCGCAGTTCTTTCATGTAGCCTTCTTACTGCTAGTAATGTTAGTTAAATTGGATTAAATTAATCTTAATCCAACATTTTGTTTATGTGTTCTGATGAACAAAACCAGATTTACATTTTGGCAAGTTGCAGCATGATGAGGGATCTACTTAAAGCAGGTAATTAGTAATCCTCGATACTTCATCCACGAGGGAAGTGTGCTTTCTTCATTAAAAACTTATTTTAGTACAAAAATGCCTTTTCCCAAAAGCGCCAAAATAACTTTTCTTGGGGGAGATGATGAAGCTCCTTTAAATGCACTTAGATTTCTTTTGAAAATACAGGTTGAAATATTTTTATGAAACTACATACAGCGAAGAAACAGTGTACTTTAAATTCTGTCCCATGTTTTGAGATATGTAATGAAAAATGTTAATAATAACCTGGGGTAATTTTCTTCCTCCCTATGTAAAGGTGATTATTACTTGCTGTGAACATGAAAAGCTTACGGTAAGTAGTCAAGGCACACTTGACTACTGAAGTTTTTTGTGTTTTATTGCAAAAACTAAATTCAGATGGCTGGTTTTGGATGGGCATCCAATTCATGCATTATCAAAGTTGATCATTGTTTGAGCATGCAAGTAGTTGCAGAATCTAGGACTGTTTTCCCCTTGCTGGGTCTTTGGCAGATGTCGGACCAAGAAGCTTCATGTCTTAACAACAAACAGTGGTGGTGTTGTGGATTATCTAAGGGAGTGTAGAAATTACTAGGTGTGGTTGATTTTTCCTAAATAGATGTAAAACTTATTAGCCTCTGAAAAAAGGATATAATTTATTTTGGGCTATAATGTAAGTATTACAGTGTGTACATAGAAATAGTGTATATATATTTATTATATATATGCACATACACTGTAATATAATGTACCAGTGCTATAATGTTCTAGCACTGTAACCTTAATGCAGAGGTTGGACAGGCTTGCAGCAAAACTTACTTCTCTACAGTTACTACTACTACTACTACAATGTAACAGTCTTCTGAATCTTACTGTTGTGGTTCCAGAGGATTCCTTTCCCTCTGAATTGGAAGGGATTTTTGTGCTTGCTTTAAGGGCCTTGCACCCTAGTATCAAGCCAAATACACAACAGTCTTCATTCTCAGAAAAATGAGGTGGCTTAAAGATAACTCTTCATTTTGCTGTCAGCAGAGAACTGGGTTGGTCAGGGCAAGATTTATTTCACAATTTTACTGAACTCCACAGGTAAATTATTTTAGTAACCGGTAAAAATTACAATCAGCTCAAGACATTAAAATGTTTTCAGATTCGTCTTGCTATAAACATTGCCAGCTCACTGGTTTTGCAACATTTCGTGATAGTAAGTTGAACTGAAAAATGTACTCGCCTCTGCCACTCCAGAAAACTCCTCCTCTGTGTGTGTTGTGTAAATTAATCTAATGCATGCTGGTGTGCCCAACGTGAAGACAGGTGTCTTCTAAAACATCTTCCTAGTATCACTTGTGTTCAGTAGAAGTTCATGTACTACCCGCAGAAGCAACTCAGTAGACCTGCTAGACATCCTGGACTGACACAGTCGGTTGGAGCAGCAGTGTGCTTTCAGTCCAGGCAGGTTGGTTGGCTGTCGGAGTTGTGAATGTTGTACCAGATGTTTATCAACTTGTGCTTAAACTGGAGACCTGCTGAGGGCACGTTTCCCCCTGGAGTTCCTGGGTCCCAGAGAAGCTAAGACAGTGTCATGTGCAGGGCTATTTGCTGTCCAAGTTTAGGTCCAGAACTTAAGATTGCAGCTAGTCAGGGCAAGAAGTGCGCCTGAGCAACAGTGTCGAGTACAACAAGCTTCTGTTGCCTCCAGATGCTGTTATGACTGTTTTCTTGTTAAAATTTAACTCAAATACTTGGTAAGACGATGGGGACCAGTCTTAGGGCAATGTAGTGTGCTCAGCAGCCAGCCTTAGCAGAGGAAGGGTGTAGCGATCAATTCATTTCCATCTGACCCTCTTGAAACCTTTTTATATAAAATCCCACAGGATTTTTAAGAGTATTTTCTCACTAAGGTTACTCAGTGCTGAAGCTGGGAGCCCCAACTGTGGAGAAACCCTTGTTAGGTGTAGTAGGGAAGGAAAAAAGGGCTTTATTTGGCAGATCACATACAGTGTTTAGATGTTTTCCTATTTTTCCTTCTTATTTACTGCCAGGAAGTGCCCAGAGAAGAGGGTCTAAGATAATTTTGAAATCTGAACTCTCAAATTGTAAGCAAACACCATTACACTGAACTTGCTTAGAAGTCGTCTTTTTGCATAGGATATGGAGGAAGCATAGTCTTAAAATCCCATTCCTGTGCACTTGAGCTATGGCATAGCTTTACCAGAGGAATTCTTTCATGCTGTGGGCAAGAATTTGTTTTGCTTCTGCATCTTGATTTTTAGTCAAAACTGGAGATTACTATTATTGCCTATCTCCCGGTTATTATTTTTTTAACTTCACCCAGGTTTATTTGTGTCATTCTGTGGGACAGAGTTTGTCTGGAGGATTTTCCTGTTGGTGATGATTCTCAGCACATGCTGAAGTCTGAATGGACTTTATCAGAGTCAGGGTTAGGAGGATTAAGTGGTCTTGGCTAACAGGCAAACTGGCCATCAGCTATGTCTCTTAACAGAGTCAGGACTTAATACTCCTGCAATCTTGCCTTGTTTGATCTCAAGCGTTAGCCATACTAGAACGAGCGAGACGCACACACCATCAGAAACAGATTAAAACCAGCCTGTGGCTTGTATTTGAGATCAACTTGAGAAAAGCCAAAAGGCAGCTGTGTGTTCTGGGAGGGTCTTTTAATGGCATTTTGCAAAAGAAGCAAAACAGCCCGAATGCAACTCATTAACCAGCGTTGGGCTCAGTTAATATACTGACTTCTCAACCCACTTGCTGAGCCACAGCTTGATTTTTGTTGTCGTTGTTCTTTTTCCAACTGTAAGGGCCTGACTCCAACACCTATGTGAATGAGATAAGTCTTCAAGTTCCGAGCCAGTCTGAATTACGGCACAAACTGTCTTCGCTGTCGTCAACCTGTACCGATTCTGCCAGCCAAGATGCAAGTGAAGGAGAGTCTCCAGTTATTCAGTCTGATGAAGAGGAAGTTCAAGTGGACACTGCTCTTGCTGCTGTAACTGAAAGAAAGGGTGCTTCAGATGTTAGTGACGAAAGTGACTCTCAAACTATTTGAATCTTAAACCCATATCCTTTAAGAATGACTTCTGAATGAATGAACGAACAAGTGAATGAAGAGCTTGCCTGTGTAACAATTTGCTAACCAAGCGTAACAGCCAGATCTTTTTACTTAGTAATACCGCCTTTTTACAAAATTGCCAGTCATGTGGAGGTTGGTTTTTAAAAAAAAGAAATGCCTAAAGCACACACACTTTAACAGTAGTATTGGGGCTCAGGGGAGCAGTAAAACTGTTGTATATACTATGTATAAGAGAATTAAAGGGGAAAGATTCAAGTTACTTTGACCACTAATCTTTAAATGGCTGACTGGAAATACTTAGAGTTGATGTATAATGCTGAACCCAAATTGTTCCTTGCATGTTTTCAGCTGCTGCAACTGAAGATTTAAGATCCAAACCAAACCAAAAAGTTCTTTTCTACTCTTTACTACCTACTGTCTGCCTACTGCCTTTGTCTACTAATGCAGCAATGTCTACTCTCTCACACTTCTTATTCAGGACCAACTTAGTTACCATAGGTGTTAAGGAAAAAAAAAAAGAAACTGAAAAGGAGGAGAGATGCATATTGAAATGTTACACTCCTCGTGGAACAGATATCTTAGCACTGTATAAACTTACTCCTCTTCCGAGATAAAATAAAGTATTTCTATCCCAACCATGTCTTTTACTTGATTACCCAAATATTTTATCCATGACAGTGAACAGAGGAGACTAATTCAGAAAAAAATGGTTATTTATATTGAGCACCAGTGTAATTTAGTTTTCCATGGTAACATCGGTTTGACTACACTGATGCAAGCCAGCAATTTAAGGGAAATAAATGAATGAATTATAAATTCAGTGCGTACATTTTACAAACCTTAGGACCTATAGTCATAATCATCTCACTGCCATTTTTATCTGCAGTCATTTTTCTCTCTAAACTTGAGGTCTGAACATGTCTAACACCTGTTTCTTGTCAAGTCTCACACTCTATTTGCAGGGATCTGCTCTTTGAGAAGGCTCCTGGCTCCTGCTCTTCATGCACGGAGGGAAGGAATGTAATCAGAAACAGCGTAAGTAAAAGGATGAGCTGTGATGTAGATCCCTTCCAAAGACCTGCCCTGACAAAGCTAGTGGTTGGGAATGGGCACCTCCTGCTGCTAGCCAGCTGGGAAGTGGCTGGTTTCCTTAAGGATTCACGCTATCTCCTGTTACTTGAGAAAGTGTTTCCTGACCCCTCTTTGGGAAATGAAAGCTAGAAGCTGACTACCTACAATTAGATATTTACTATTTAACAAGGCGTCTGTTGAAAGAAGTTTTTCTTTAAGGAGCTTACTTTACTCACTTCCCAGAAGACAAACAAAATGTCCAAAAAAGTTTTGTTTTTTTATTAAACCTCGTAGTACAAACCTGGAAAGTAAACAAAAAACTGGCAATAAACAACATGAAGTCCTTCCTTACAAGGAAAGAGAGCAGAGCAGCGCTAATAAATTAAATGTCAAACTGTAAGCCATAGTCAGAAGTTTACTGTCAAGAGGGAAAAGTACACAGCAAGGCCATAAAAACCAGACAACCACATTTGAAAACACTTGACTCTGTTTATGTTATTGTTAAATATTCCAAAACAGTTCAGTCTTCTGCAACAACAACCAACAAATTGTATTATAGGACTTTCCTGACAGTCACCACTGGCAAGCTCAGTGCAATATGGGTAGCTACGGTATTGTTGAATTCAATTACGAAACAAAACAGTTTGTGAAAACATTTTCCCTTTTTTATTCCACACATACTGTACACACAACCAGAAAAGGGCAACAGCTACTCCATTATTATTTTTTGTTGTTGTTCAGTGATGTAAGCAGCACTTATAAATGTTACAAGAAAAACCCTGTAAGCATCCAATCCAACCGATGAAGAAAGTGAAACGTAAGGCTTTTCTTCATCTTGTCTCTTCGCCATCCCTCCCCCCACCCCAAGAAAAGGCTCAAGTATTTAAAAAAATTTACAGGCATATGTACAAAAGGTGTGATTTTTTTTTTTTTGTTACAACATGAAGAGAAAAAATAGACAAGATGAAAGCAAATGCATTTTCACATTCAAAAGAAATACGCAGACCTGCTAGTGGCTCTAAATGTGATCATATAATGAAACAAATTCAAAACAAAAATTAATGCTTGACTGTGTAAAGGTGTGAAAAACAGCAGTGGAATGGAAATGGAATGTTAGAAAGATTGCACGTCTATGACAAAAGAAGCACTTATGGCTTTAATCACTTTTTTTTTTTTTTTTTTTTTTTTTTAAAGGATGCTATTGAAGGGTTTTTGATAAAGTAGCCAACAGCACCAAAAAATAACAGAATGGATTTCCTAATGAAATCAGGCACAGTTTTCCCTCACATGACTCCTCAAGGCAGGCAGTCTTTTTTCCACCTTTTTTTTTTTTTTTTAAATTTTTATTTTTCCCCCTCAAAACAGATGCATAGTGATGTGCTGGTAAAAGAGAACATACTCCAAATCTCCTCCTTTTGCCTACAGTTAGGAAACAAAGTCCATCTTCAGCTGCCATAACCTCCCAAAGAAAGTGTGTATTCTCCAATTTAAAAAATTACAAAACTCATCTTGCTGTGACAGAATAAAAGACAGCCAAAGTAAAGCAATTTCTTTCAAGTTTTTGTCTCCTATCCTTTTTCTCTCTAGAAAAATCTGCTCACATGACTGGAGAACAAATTATAAAACACATCAAACTTTAACCTATTCAAAAAATGGGTTAAAAGCCTTTTTTCACAGTTACCAAAAAGGCTTTTTATTTTTTCAGCCATAGGGACAATACAAATTAATATTTTATCAGCCCCTTGCCGGTTTTAAAACAGTGAACATACGGCAGTTTAAAAAAATCAGACTGCTGTATCTATCTATTCTAAGTACAAAAAAAAATTCAACAGTTTAATGCTAAAACAAAATTAGTTCTCTAAAACCAGAAGAAAATCTTCTTTAGAGCTAGTGCAAAGACAGCTTGTATTCTACAGCAAGTACTCCAAACTATGGTATAATAATTACAAAAAATATATATAAATTGACAAAATGAGAGTGTTGGCATCTTCAGGATTAACTTGAAGCACTTTTGGATGAACTGGAGGATGAAAGCCTAGATGATGGCACGTCAACTGTCGCTCTCTTACGAGGTCCTCTTTTTGGTGTAGGCTTGCTGATACAGTTCTCAATGCTGCCATTTTTACCAGATACTTTTCCACAGATTTGATTGACTAGACTGATTATTTGTTCCTGTTCAGGAGTGGGAAAAACAGAACACAAATTAGCATCTGCTCTTTCTCCAGTCACTTCTGATGGACAGAGATGTAGTGCTGCCTTTTTGACTGAAAGCACTTAACTGGGGGGGGGAGAAGGAGGGAGGAATCTATATATTCACAAACTATGCAGAAGCTTGGCTCATATACCACTTATTCACAACCAGGAGTTTTGTAAAAAGTACTGTGTAGTAGTCCAAATACTGCCCTTGCTGAAGCTTCCCCCCTCCAAACTTAAAGACAGTAATCCGCAGAACTTGAAACGTCTGAGCTCTGGCCGCTAAGCAAGAGTAAAGAAGCTGGGCTGCAAGGTTACTTCACTAGGCTCAGAAATGTTTTTCAGAAACAATTTAAAACCCACTGCTGAACAAAGTTATAAATGCCATAAATTTAAGTCCACAGTAACATTGCTTATAATTTACTAAATATTTCTTTAAAACTAAGAAAAAGATTCCACTTTTTCCTTATGACATTGTTGTCATTGGTTCCGGGATGCTACTTCAGTTTAATGCTTTTTAGAATGTCCAAGTGCTCTGAGCCCATGCATAGAGAAAGCCGGCTTGCTGCCACGCAGAAAAAGGGCTACAGGTCCATGGCACTATGATGAGCAAGAGACAGGAATCCTTGAACTGCACATCAAAGTGTCTTGGCTACAATGCCACTCCTAATTCCGTTACGTTCAGGGATTTGATGACGTTTTGGGGAGGGGGTGGGGGGGAGTTTTCTGAACTGGCTGTCCCAGCCTAGTAAGAATGTTGAGAAGTTATTTTTGTGCGAAGTTGAAACAGCCTCTTAAAGTCTACCTAACAGTTAAATGGATTTGACAAATGGCATTTGACATACAGGTTCTCTCTCTCCCTATTCACAGCCCTCAGAAAAAATTCTGTAATAATAACCAGGCATGCAGTTAGCATCTTTCAGAAATGTAGAAACTTTGTGACTGCATCTTTCAGAAATGTAGAAACTTTGTGACAGTTTTTTACATTTGGAAAAAAATAATCATCCAGTATTGAAGGAGAGGTTTTCTTCCCTTTCCCAACGCAGCCTAAAATACCTACTTTGTAAATTATAAAACCTAGCAAAAACAATTACTGTATGTGATTCTGCTGGAAAGGGTGGCTTTGAAAACCTCAATAGAACTAACAGAGCTGTGAAAACACAGGATGTAAGGGACTGAATAATCTCAAGAATAAGAGAAATACATTAGAATTTCTGAATAACTTCCTGAAACTCTTCGGTGTTTATCACATTACAAAGGCAGTTTCACTGTTGTTTGGGCTTCTTAGGTTGTACTTGTTTCTATCTTCAGTCCCTGATACCAGAACAGAGTCTACAATTAAAAATGAACAAAGCTGCAAGGGCATGATTTGCCCCAGACTTACTTTGACCCTTTTGGATTTCCCCCCATACCTCTATGCGCATACTGCACATACTTCTCAGAAACTGCTGAGAAGCCCATTGCAAAAAGCTACTTGTACCAGCACTGATCTCTAAGAGCTGATTTTGTAATTTCTCTCACTGCTTCACTATCCACAGCTCGGGCTAACAGTAAAATGCTCCCCCACTCTCTGTTCCCCACCCATCCCCTCACACACCCTGGCTGTCCACAAATGGAGCTAACTAGACAGGCAAAAAGGCATTACTTGACTGCACTGCAGTGTAGCATTAGCCCAGAACCCAGGCACAGTCCTGAATCACCAACTTGAGTTCTGTGATCATTCATCGTCACATTGAGCCATTCAGCCATTACTGGACCTCTCATCTACAAGTACTCTACAAGTTTGCCTTAAAGAAAGTTCAGGCTGGACTGGAGTAAGTCAGCGTGAACTTTCAGTTACCAACAGAGAGACGTTATCCTAAAGCACAGAAGTTATCATAAATTAACCAGTCAAAGCCTCACGTTCTACAGCATCCCAAAGCATTAAAGCATTAAATGGTTTCTGTGTTCTGTAACACATATTCATGTGTTTATGCTTCAAGCAGTTTATGCTTCAGGTTTCATCTTTGCAATCATGTTTCCCTCTACTTCTTTTACTTAGCTCATAATAAAGTGCCTTCTTCCCACACCAAAAAAAAAAAATAAGGCACAGTTTCCTGAGGTCTCGGTAGGACAAAGGCAGAGCTAAGTCTAGTCCCAAGTTTTCAGTATCAAAGCTCACCAGCATCACAAAGCTATAGCGTACAGACCTCATCATAACGGTACATCATTTTCAGTCCCCGACAAGACTTCTGTTTTTCCACATGCCGCAGGGCACACTCCAAGCAGAAGACAACATTTTCATTCTCCTGTACAACCTATAAAAATGCAGAGGCGGGGGAACAGAGAAGTGCAGTAAGCTCCAAATTGTAGCCGTGTTACACACACAATATTTCCCATTGCAATGTGTGACTTACTAAACCTGTATTTTACTACAAGTTAGTGGAAGGAGGCATAAACAAGAAGCATTACACATTGTGAAATGATTCAGAATGTGTAAGAAGAAGAAAGTACATATCCCTTTTTGAGTGCTAACGTTGGCAAATACACACAATTTTAAAAAACCCCACCAATAGTAATGAAGGCCAAAACCAAATAACGATATATGCATAAAGCTTTATTGGTATCTAATATGTAGCCTAAAGTTTTCCTGAAAGCAGCTGTTTCCCATTACTTTAAATGCTGTCTTGAATACGGATAAAATCAGAAGCTTAGCCACAGGATTCCTCAGCTACCGTCTCATTCTGCAGAGGTCACATTTGCTCAGCTGGCTACCTGCCAAGCCTACACACTCAGCTTGGAATTTGACAACCAAGTTGACTTTCTGTCCCGTGTTACTGTTAAGAACGACAAGGAAAAATCCTTCCCTCAGTTACACTTACTCCAGAGCAAACAGACCAGAATTAAGAGTTTTTGGTTGACTGGTTTTTTAAACAAACTCATTTTAAAGTTACTGCAAACTAGTCCTGCTTAAACATGTCTTAGCTGCTCAGTGGTCTAAAGACATGTATAAACTCAGCATATTCCATCCTAGGGAGGGAAACAGCTACATCTCATCATTTAACAGTTACATTGTATTTCTATCAAAAACCTAACATTTATAACCAAAAAAACCCTAAAGATGTCAGAAAAAAGGACTGAATATGGACTCACACGCACTGTATTATGTTTATTTAAATACCTGATCTTGGAATTAAGTGGTACATAAGGTTGTGGGAAGGGCTTCTGGTATTTTTATATAAATTGCTGTATTTCTAGGTCTCCTGCATACAGCTAAAAACCTGAAAGTGTCACCACAGTGGTCAGCACACCTTCAAAAGCCAGTAGGCAATTATTTCTAAAAAGAGAGAAAGTTTATGGGCATGACTTCTATTTTTGAACAGACAGGTTGGCAAACAGCATCTTAGCTTGATAGATAGGACACATCTACCCTGCAATTTGGCTTGCAGGGAAACTGCCGCAGCATGGGCTGTAGCTGCATGCCTGAGACTCGGGGCACATATTCGAGTTGCTAGCTCATCCCCAGAACTGTTCTGCTATAACTTACTACTACTGGCAACATGCAGGTATCATCTGCGTTACCCCTCCTAATGCAATGCAGACATGCTTATGGGCATCCGAGGCTGGCTGAGTGACTAGTTTATCCCTTCCTTACAGGGGGAGGGAAGCTACCCGACACTAACTGTTGTCTTCTGCGTTGTCACCGCTGCCCAAGGCGATAAATGTTTTGACGTGAACCAAATCAACATCTCCGTGTGTTGCGTGGAGTACGTGGGATGACTGTAGTCACGTGCTGTTTCTCAAATGCTTATAGTCCATTACAGTACGTTAGAACAGGGGGGACAGTACACCAGCAGTGGCAAAGGATTTTACTCACCATGGAAAGATAGCACAGGTGCTGACAAATCTGACATCTCCTCTCTGACGTTTCTAACTGCAACCACTTTCGAGGCTTTTTCTTTCCATCCATCCCCGTGCTGCTGCTGTCATGGCTGCCATAGCGTGCTGAAGAATGGAGACCTGCCTCGTAAAGCTGCCGCCGCTGCCTCAGCTCCGTGTCCCTGTGAATGTTTTATGCAATTAGACATTGGCATCGCCTCATACCACCACAAAGCCATGTATAATCACCCTTTTACCATGATCATCACTGAAACCTTAGCTCCACACAGCAAAGCCCTGAGTGTTGTTGGAGGTTGGTGCCATTCCCTACGCATGGTGAGAGACAGCCAGCACCACAGAATCGCTGCCTAATTGCAAAAGCTATCTCCGGAATTTAACAGCGACCACTGTATCAAGCCAGTGGTTCTCAAACTGCTCCACAGAGAACTGGGGACTGCTGAGTACTTCCTGGAGGTCGATGGTTGCTCGGGGCCATGTGGAGAGCCAGGAGATGTGGCTAACATGACTGTCATTCCTGAAGTTGCCAAAAGCCACCTTGAGGAGGAGGAGCCGTTGCTGTCAGGAGTAACATAGCCACCTTCATCAGGAGGCAGAGATGAACCAAGGACCTGCTGCCGTGAGGTGCTTCAAGCAGGAAAGGGGGAGCAGGGCAAGTGATTGTGCCAAAAGACGAAGATCTTGCTGTACACCCAGGGGAAAAAGATGATGTCAATTAAGAGTAAAGACTAAGCCCTCTAGTTGCCCTTCACCTACGGCGTCCGCAAGGTGGACAATACTTCCTATGCTGAACTATACAGCATTAGGAGAGCAGGTCAGGCTGGAGCTGAGTGGAAGACAGCAAGCGTGAAGTGAGCTGAGCAGATGGAAGGGGAGAATAAAAAGCTCACCACCAGACACAGCTGAAGATGGGTGGAGAGCCAAGCTAAGCAAATGGCACGGGCAAACTGAGCAACCAAGGCAGATCAGGAGAGGAGGCAGCAAAAGACACAGAACAAACAAGCAAAACAAAACAAAGGAAAAAACATATGGTACAGTTTTCCACTTTGGCTGTTTTTTTCAGGTTTTGTTGTTTGGGATTTTGTTTTACATAAGCAGCCACAGGAAGGACCGATATCCTCCAGAGAATTCCAACCTAAGCATAAGAACAAGTTTGAGAACCACTCTGATAGAGGTCAATGTGATGGTCTAACAGCAAGCACCAACATTTCTGTTTCACCTTTCGCACTTGCAGACTTTTCCTCTTCAAGGAAAAAAAAAATGCACTTGGAAGTGATTATTCCCACAGGGGAACCAGCTGCAGGTAAAGCAGTCAGCACACCTCTTTGTATTTCTTTCTGAACACTAAAACAACACATGGGCTGTTTTCCCCTTCAATATGTCACTGGAAATTTTCCAAATGAACATGCTAGTTAGTTAAATACAGTTTGTAGATTCCATTCATCAAAACTTTCTTGACATCTCGAGTACCAGTTGTCACAAACTTGAAAGATATGTAGCAACTACATGGTAGGGAACAAAAGAGAAGATCATTACACAGGAAGCCAGGCAACATTATATTTTCTTTTTTTACCTATCTTAAGAGAACCCCTAAACATGTTTCCTCAATACTGGAGAGAAAATGGAGTGTGAAGTTTTTTTTCTTTAAAACATTCCAAGTTCTAATGCAAGATGCATTAGCACCCATGCATAAGCTGCTCACTTATTCAGTGGTTTAAATCAAGACAACTTTCTGTATACAAAGTACCTTCTATAACTGCAGTATAACAATCTTGATGCTGAAGACAAGGGTTCCTGGTGCAAAACCCATTACAGGCATGGATTGACAGTGGCTACTGATGCCAAGAGGTTGAAAAACTGAAGAAAGGTATTTAACCACTTGGCACCATGTAGCTCACCTAACACATCAGGAAATCTTGACTCTCAGCACCAAGAATCAACAAAATAAAAACCCAAGGCAAACTAGTTTTAATTCTTTGATGGTGCCCAAAGTAGGGAATTCTTAGAGTAAGACATCCTAACCACGGGCACTCTCACATCAAGTACAGCCAAGGAAACTGTTGCTTCCACATGTGGCTGTCTTCAAGTATGTTTGCTGGGCTTTTGCTTGGTTAAGTAGGTGAAAGACATGCATCTGAAATGGTTACTTACGTCATCCACCTCTGGAGTCTGTCAATGAAAAAAAATAGGTACAACAGGCCCCCAATTCGTTACCTGAGCTCTCCAAGAAGTGATGATATCGTACTCAGAGTCGGTCCGTTTTCCTTTTTTGCTTCTGCTGTTGCAATCTGATAAAGCAACTTTTCCATTGAAAATGGTTTGGCTATACGTCGTCTCTTCATTTCCTGGGACAGAAATTGCCAAATTAGTCCTTAGGCAAATTTGAAAATAAAAAGTTATATGAAGAATGAATTCACTGTAGCAGAAGGTATCCTTTTAAAACAACCAAAAGTAAGAGCCTTCTATAGGCCAAATTAAACAAAGTATTTATGTTCCTAACTTACATCCAGCACCTAACTTCACACTGAAATAAATGCTGATTATAAATCAGTCCTTTCAGTGGAAAGCCAGGTGCCCAAGTGCTTTATTAAATTGGGTCTTTCTGTTGAAAGGACTATGAAAGATTTTCTGCACGTGCTTTAGGTGAACCAATGCGACAGAAAAAAACTCAAAAGCCTAAACCAAACGCATGCTACCACAGTCACAAGCAACTGCTTTCTCGCAGAATACCCTACTGCCTGTTATATCTAACATTCATTTTTGTTCAAAGTCACCAGTAGAGAGCAAAAAAGTATCTGCAATGCATGATGGCATATATGGCAAGAAATCAACCTGTATGCTATCTTTTCTTAATATGCTTTACTGTGAAATTTAATGCAGAGAAAAGATATATCAAAGTCTGATATACAAAGAGAATGAAGCAAAATGCAAATATTCCAGCATCACCTTTCAGGTATACCCTTTTTTCAAAAAAGAAAATTAAACTTAATCAGTGGAAAAGACAAGGACAGGAGAGATGTCAAGAAAATGAAAAAAATAAAAAGAAGGATGCCCAGGCATAGATTAGCATGCAGTTCACTGAAGTGAAGGAACCAACAAACACCTCAAAATTCTCTCCCGAAAAATTCATTTTTCCAGTGGAGGCCAAGAGGAGTAACCCAATCACTTAAGCTCAGTAATACACTATTGGCGTGCTCAGCTATCCAGTAAGATCTAGCCTTCTGACCTGCTTGAAGCCCAGGACTGCTGTTATTTTGCATCTTTTGAAATGTCAAAAAGACAGTAACTAGCAAAACAGGCAGGTGTCAGGGAAAAGAGAGAACAGGCAAAAAGAGGGGGTTTCAGTTCTGCTCAGTTTTGCCTGTTACCGGTTCCTCTCTATGTAAGCTTTTAAAGCTACGTCTTTCATTCCTGTCAATATGAACCAACTGATTTTGGTAGCTTAAACCCTTTCGATAATTCTTACGTAGGCAAATTCCTTGATTTACTGTGCAGTTGGGGAAAAGTCTAGAGTTTTCTCAGTGTCTGAAGAAGTATGTTTTGTTATAGAGTCAGAGAGTTTTCAAATGATGCTAACATTAGATCGTAATGTGAAGGTGCCATTTTGGTTAGGAGTTAAGCCCACCAAATACCTACTCGGCACAAACAAAACCGAAGATTCATCTTTAACCTTGTTTTTTTTTCACTCTGTTTTGTAACCCTAATTATATGTTCTTGGTATTTCTTTTATCAGAACCAATATATCATAAAATTCATCATTTTTAATAGCACTGATTGCATGCATTGAAGTGATAACTAATATATGTATCATAAAATGGATTAGTAACCTTTGCTGACCAAAAAGCGTTCAAAAGAGGGTCACAGGTAAGAAGCGCGGTCTTCAGAAGGTTCTGCTGGAGACTGCCTGGGGCCAGAACAGCTGCACTTTTAGGAGTGGTATGAGAAGTTTTGTTGCATGTTAGATTTGCTTTGCATATTGTCTGAGGCTGCATAAGAACAGCCACTCCAAGCCAGACCAAAAGCCCGCACAGGCAACACACGCAGCCAGGATAAAAGGCCACAGTGGGTGGCTAGAGAAAAAAGCGAGGTACGCTCCTGCTGGCTGGCAGCTCAGGGACCTCCTGAGCCCGAGACGGGTCTGTGCTACATTTAGCACAACTCACTGGATCGTGCATTTATCTGAATTTCTGAATCCGTGTACATTTTTTTCTTCCATGCAGTACTGAAATACACAGATAAGTATTTTAAAACAGACTTTTGTTTGCTTTTGACCTACTGCCTAATAATTTCTTTTAATGACACGTTTTTCAATGTTACGAGAGACAGCAAACGTTCATATTATAATTATCATCACCCTGCCACTTGTGATCCGATCTTACTATCGTCTATGTCTCTCAGTCATTAATTTTCCAGGATGAGTAGTCCTCATATTTAATGCAGAAGCTAATTCATACCTTTAATCATCATTCTCTGCTGTGCTTTTTCTAGTTCCTCTATATTCCTTTTGCAATCAGGGACTCAGAATTGCACAAGTATTCAAGCCATGGCCATACCAAGAGCCCACACAGTGCCATAGCAATGTTTCTGCTTTGTTCTCTATTCTCTCCTTGCAATTCCTAACATTCAAGATCTCTTTTTAAACCTCTCCAGAGCACTTGGCTGGCAGCTCCATAGGAATCCAAAGACCTCTTTTCCCAGTAGCAAGAGCTCGTTCAGAGCCCATCGCTGTGTCTGTCAAATTAGGATTATTTTTTACTCCTGAGTCATTTAAAATTTATCAACCCATTTTCTCACTCAGATCACAAATCTTTCTGTAACACCTCATAGCTTTCATTTTTGCTATCATTACCTATATCCTCTGTATAAAGGATTAGTTTTGCTATTCACTTCCCTTTCTAGTTTATTTATGGATATGTTGAACTGTACTGGTCTTAGTAAAAATTCCTGAGGAACGCAGAAAGAGACCTCCTTTCATGATAAAAACTGACCATTTGTTCTCATCCTCTGCTTCTCTTTAAATCAGCTATTTTTTTGGTGCGTGAACTTTCCCCCTCAACCCATGGCAGGTTAATTTCTTTAAGAGCCTTTTCTGAGGAACCTTGCCAAAAGTCTTCCAGAAATGCTCACAGACTGTCAGCTGGATCTCTTTGGCCATACATCCTTCCAAGAGTTTCAAGGCCTAAGGGCCATGACCTCGCTGCAAAAGCCGTGTTGATTGCCCTGGTCTCATTCTTTTCTACATTTATTTTTTCTTTTGGCCTTTAGCAAGATGTTCTTCGAAATCTTTTTTTGGTCTGCATTTGTGTGTGTTCACATGCGTCTTGCTAGAGTGCTTGTTTTATTTGCATTTTCATCTTCTGGACACAAAAGGGATTTTTTGGTCTCATTTCAAACAGACTCCTTTCTCCTGGTGTTTAGCCATGCCAAGTTTAGTGGGGGTTTGCCTTTTGAAATTTTTTTTTTTGCTAGGCAATGTGCATGTGTTGTGAGCCTCTAACGCGGCATCTTTAAACAATTTCTACACTGCACGCGAACACTTAACCCTTCTTTCTGCATTCTCAATTTAACAAGCTTCCTTGGTATTAATGCGAGGCTGTCTTTTGAAATGAAACACCATAGTAGTGAGTATTTTGCGTTTTACTGCTCTTTCAAGGTTCTTAATCTCTGCTCGCCATCACAGCGCAGCTATTTGATAGTGTTTTTAACTGGGCTCCACCATTGCCGAGAAGCGAGGCAAGTTTCTTCTCACGTGGATTTCCTGACTGGCTGCTCCCTGAAGCCATTTTGGTTCTGGCATCACACACCAACACAACCACTATCCAGCTAGGGGGAGGAGACCAGCATTTCCCATTATCGTCGTATGTCCTGTCCTTGCAGCCTCTCTCATCTCCTTTAGTGTAACACAGGATACGTCTACACACCATCCAGCATGGCAAAGCAGGAGGAGTGGATGTGCAGAGCGATACAGTTGATGCTGAGGACCCAAACATCCACAGGATGTGTGTGTGTAAAGCCGATGGCTTTACTTCAGGGCAGTCTAGCCTCGTGCTGTGGCCACACCACCACCAGTGTTTGGAGGACATCAGGTACACTTCTGGAGCGCCTCTTCCCATTTGGTTTCATCTGAAAGCAACTCAGTCTGCTCAGGCTAAGACAGCTCTGTGACAGGAACCAAGGAATCGTAACTGTGGCATTTTAAAGGCACGTTCCTCACCCAAACTAAAACTTGGGGGGGATATTTATAAAGCCCCTGCCAGCATCTTGGCTGGACAGTCAGGAGCACAGTGCTAACACCATGCTTTTCCTCTTTAGGATGGGAAGATCAGTGCACAGGGGTTTTGTCACTGGTGACAGAGTTAAACCTGGCTTATTTGACCGTAAGCTCTCTTCTGTGTGCAACAGTGCTGCTCCAACTGGATGACTAACTCCATCTTTCCTGTGTACTACTTCTTCTTGTATTACGGTACCGGCCGAGTCTCTTCTTTCCACCAAGTTTCTGGTAGGCCCTATACCACCAAAGCCCTCCTTTAAAACCAGACATTCCTTCTTATTTCCAAACCTCTAGACCAGAGTGCAGTCATTTAGTCCAATATTCTGTTTTCCTGTTTCCTAAGTGAGTTTTACTGACTTTGCCCAATGCCTTATTCGAGGACATAGAGTTACCCCTTGCCATTCCAAACACAAACTCTTCCACCACACCTGTAAACCTTCTCCTCATTCTTAGTTTAAAATTTCAAGAGCTCTTAGGGTGTTTTTTAAAAGCCAGCAACCTGGTTCCACATATGGTTTAGGTGAAACCTCTCTGTCCCTTTACACAGGCTTTATACAAACTCCTTTATTCCAACAATTATCCCAACTCCTTATAAACCAAAATCAATGCAATTTCAGATGCAGAATTTCGTTTTTCTGTATATTAAAGGAGATTGAGCAGTCATTCAATACATGAAATGAAACAACATTGTTTAGTAATATAAAGAGAGTCACTATAAAAAATCAGGTCACCGTTATCACAGAGTGAAAACAAAGTTAATGGCTGAAAACTGTCAATATTGCTGTCGAGAATGGACAGACAGGAAGGTACAGTTGTTTGTCAGAGAGTTCTTTAACAGTTCAAAAGGGGAATCTTGCTTGTTACACAGAACTTCTCACAACTTCTGAAAAGCATAATCCCAGCCAGCCTTTGAAAATGGCGAAGTGCCTTGTCAAAGTGAAGAAACCAAGGAAGAATTTCCAAAATTTAAGGGAGTTATGAACATAGGATAGTTTGAGGAAAGAAGAGGGGAAAGGAAAAAACAGAGGGAAAAGAACAATGCAGTAGGTGTTTCCAGAGTTATTTTGATATAAACATATATCTGTGGTTCTTGTAAAGTCTGAGAGCTGTGACTTCACTTTCCAAGGTTATCTAGATTGGAATCTGCTGGATTTTCAGTCAGCTTATATTTACCCAGTGCAAAGCTCTTACAAATTAATCAAAAGAAACTGTTCTTCAGAATTTGAGGCACCAAGAAGAGCTTTTTAATTGCTGCATAGTGATTTCTGTCTCTTACAGAAGTGGCATTTTCACAATATCAAACAAGTGTTCAGTAGATCAATAAATACAGCATATGGAGTTCATATAACTGTGTACCTTCAGACAGAAAAGGTTAGCTCAGGATTCTCATTCCTCACCTACACACACATACAATTCCCACCTTCCCCCAAAATAAATCTGTAATAAAATAACCTTTTATTTCAAACTAAGTTAATATACAGTTAGTATAACCAGGCTGGAAGAATTCCATTAACCCTAAAGAACCAAAGCCTAACTGTGGACATACTACATTTAATTACTTACTAACCACTTGGTCTGAAGCTGTAAATGATAATTTACTAGTGGCTTAGCTATAAAAACACTACCAAAATAGCATCTGTAACCCATTTGAGAAGGTTGGGAACACAATTAGTGACATATATTCTTTGTCCAAGAACAGAGAAATGTAGCCAAAATCATGATGATTGGGCAATTCACCTGTTTGTTTCTGCAGACAACCTGCCTCAGTTGTGTGAAAAGAGAACGGGAAGTTTGTTTTATTTACAGCTTAGTATCGGATGGGCTGGTCAGTGAACCTAAGGATTTTCAAGTCGATTAAAATTGAAATTGCCCTGATCAACAGCTTTTCCTGAACGAAAGGGCAGAGAAAGACAAGCAATACAGCTGTGAGTATTAATTGACTCTGCCTATCATAGGAGCTAACAAGCACAGTTATTCAGATATTTGCACCTGAGATTCTAATGGTTCTAGAAAACATCACTTAAAAAAAAATCAGTAAGCATAATACAATATATTATCATTAGCTCCGCAGGAATTTTTGAAAAGCTTCCTCACAAACTGGTCTGCAGGCATAACAATCTTCTGAATTTTTCAAATATACAGAAGTTTTTAGCTATCAATTATTACCTCTGTTGCTTTTCTGAAAACAGTGGATCATCTTATGCCTTGCAGAACTTTTTCTTTTTTTTATTTAATAGTCCACAAAAATAGACGTAGTTATACATCTCACAATACTATCAATCCTGGAATGTCTGGTTTGCTGTCATTTCAGATGGCAGGGCCGTGAATCCATTTTAACGCCTTTTCTCAACTTACCTTGGCTGTTTTAAAACCCATACTTGTCCACTGGGTGGTAGCAAAGTGCACTGTTTCAGAAACACTATAGCCACAACACACTTTAGACACAAAGGATCCAGGAAAACAGACAACAAACTGCCCGCTCTGCTGTACAGTACGGTGCACCCTGATCCCCTCCTTACACAAGATTTCTGGGGAGATCTAGAAAGACATAAAAGCAAAACAAAAAAAAAAGAAAAAAAAGAAAAAAAAATGAGAACTTTCTTTTATAGTTAGATTCCCTTCCTTGCTGGGTACTGCCACATGCTACTTCTTGTGGAGAAAAGCTGTGCTCTGCTCACATCCCAGCTCTGTTTGCTTTCTCTCTTCCCTTCTGCACATGCTGAAGCTTAGTGTTTGGAGTGAGAATTACAGAATTGGCTCTTTTGAAACCAACAGTTTAAACTTTCACTTGCCAAACAATCTCAAACACAAAGCCTCAAAACAATAAAGAAAAAGTAACGCTGGCCATTCATTTTTCCATCTAGATCTTTTCAGACCTGGCACTGAATCCACCTTGCTACTGCACTTCTGTTAGAGATGTTATAGATGGATAGCTGAGGGAGTTCTTTTTGTTGTGGGCTCCCAAATTTATACTTAAATGCACTAAATGGAAATTGTTGTCCACAAAATAAAAAGGGAGCCAAAAATACTTTGAAATCCTTTGAAGTATCAGGCTTCTCATATCCATGCTGGCATCATAAAATGTCAATCATGGCAGATTAATTGATTACAAAACAGTCTCTTTGTGAGGTTAAATACATTATGGACAGTATTAAAAATGGACATTTATTGCACTGTCACATTTATTTTTATTGCAACATTTTAACATGTGAGCCTTGTTAGGAAAATGCCATGTGGGTAAACACTGGAAGTAGAAAGTAGCCAGATTTTAACAACAGCCTCTGCATCATTGTAGTGTAAGACAAAACCAAAATAATTCCCCAAACAACCAGCCTTCTGATTAGCCTTGGGTGCTCAAATGGGAATACCTCTCCCAGTGTTAACCTACCATTACATTACTTTCAAGCATTTCCAGCCCTGGAGTGCCATTGGCTTGCAGCAGGGTATGTACCACATCATCAAGTTTGTTCTCCTCCGCAGGAGGAATGCAATACCTGTTGTTTTGTCAGAGGAAAAGAGAAAGATTTACTGTGAAATAAATAATGGTCCACAGCTACACAGTAACAGGCAATTCAGACCAGGACATTGATTAAAAGAAAGAAATTAAACACAGGCTTTCCCCGCACAGTTCTTTTTGGTAAAACACTGAGGATTCATGGAAAGCTGTTTATTTAGACTCAGTCTGATGGTATTCACTAGATGCCAAAGGACACAAAATCCCCAAAACAGAAATGTGAAAACTCAGTGCTCAGAGGAGAGAAATTAGCAATAGAATGATGTTCATTTTAAGGGCACCAAAACAACTAATTACAGGCAGAAATTTGCATCTCATGAGCACCAATATATGTTCTATTATCTTTATCATAAATGGTTGTATTTATTACCTGTGCATCAACCAAAGGATCTTTTTATTTAATAACGTTTTCTGTTCGTAACAATCAAGAAATCACAAATCACCTTTACTATTAGTACACAAAGTAGCCTAAGACCTTCTTGCCTTGCTTACTAAACAAATCCCACATCCCTCCTTTCCCTTGCAACAAAAGAAAGACCTAAGAGCAGCCAAAGCAGCAAAAGAGATTTAAAACTCTGCTGGGTATATACGGAGTTGTACATCCTCCTCTCCTTTAGAAGCCAAGGAAGCAGCTGTCCTCTCTGTGCTCATTGCCAGCAATGCTCCCTACATAGAAGTGACAAGAAATAACGTAGGAGTCTCAGGTCTTAGCTTCACACATCCAGAGAACTGCTATTTTGCTGGATGCGGGGAGGCGATATGGTGACAATTACTGCTACTCTTGCTTGCACCCTGCCAGAAGGGTAATGGTTTATGTCCACCCAGGAGATACCTGTTCCCAAGATCTGGTAGTTGGTATCTAACGACTGTGAACTGAGCAGCGCAGCTTGGTGGGAAACACAGTGCAAATCCTGGGATTCCCAAACCTGCCTTGAGTTGCTGCCATGCTAAGCTTTATCCATGACATTACTTTATTTCGATTTGTTATGCTCAGGCAAATGAAAAGCATCTCCAGATTTATCATGACTTATCTCAGTTCACTTTAAGCAATGAGACCTCAATCTGGAGCCCATCCGCGCCCAAGCCAGACACACGCACGCACACAGATGTTTTTCCAAACTTGGCAACAGGGGAAGAGAAAGAATCTGGAAAGATTTTGGGGAAAGGGTGCAGTTTTCTTGTCATCCATCCAGTCTCTCCACCAATTTCATAAAGCGTTCTGCTGGCCTTACGGGCCTTGTCAAGATATTTGCTTACGATATGCGCTAATCTTAACTCCGTATGCATCATACAGAGTTATCCTGCTTGATTAGTCTGTAGGAGGCTGTGCTTCCTATGATTTGAACATCTCGCTACTGTTCACTGTACTCATGATGACTTTGATTTGTCTTTGTTGATCTTCAAGCCAAGAACCAGAAGAGATGACAATATCTACTTGTACAGCTAATTGTAGCCACAATAAGGGCTCTAATGAGCTGGTTGCCCAGGTGTACATAGACTGTCTCCTCACATATACATTGTCAACGATTAGGACCTTGCTGAGAAATCCTAGGGTTATAGAGAGGTGAAGTGGAAGAACCTCATCTTCATAAGGATCAAGTCCCAACAGCAATTTTAAATGCATGCTGTGTATCAAATACTTCGCAGTACCTGCACTGCTAACAGTGACAGCTGCAGAACAGCTGCATGTGTGTAGAGTATTACTCTAGTTACACTATAATAACAGATTTTAAATGGTGATGAAAATATTTTAAATTCAAATCCAGAACATGGCAGAACCCACTCCTTTCTTTTAGAATCAGAAAATATAGCTGGAACAGCTGAAAGATTCGAGCATGGAGTCCCTCACAAGATGGGCCCAGGAAAAAGCACGGGAAGGATGTGTGAAGAGGAGGGGCAGCACAGAAGTGCATGGGCCTATCTGACTACTGGCAGGACTGAGGCTTATGCTGCAATTTCACTCACTCACAATTCTTCATGTACCTATAAAAATCGGAAGCGAGCAGCCAGCATAGACTTCTGAGTGTCTTGGGCACAAGAAGATTTTCTTCTTTTAATGGGCACCGAGGATCCTTCCTGAATAAAAAGGTTAGGTCACTGACCTCTGCCCTGCATGAAAATTGAGTTCTCCTATATTTGCTCTTCACGAGGTACATCTGAGAGATTAGACGGTGACTTGAGCAATCTACAGGTAAATGAAACACCACTGATTTTAGCACCACAGGGATCTGTCCTTGGCAGAGAAGAATTCTGGATGCTGGGTGGACGTAGCAAGACAGAGAAGAGCTTTGGTGCCCACTTGCCTGCTTTGTTATCACTGAAGCAGCCACTGAAAGCAATGCTGTCAGGGCTACTCTAGATATTACACCAGACCTAGAGTTACTGAATTAATCTTTTCCTCAAAAAAGTTGGGTACCTTATTGCAATATTAAAAGTTGTAATGAGTTAATAATGCATATTAGCCTGATGCTTCAGCCTAGCAGCATTGCCAAAGAATAGCTTTTACAGACAAAGGAGTTTCACTTCTTCCTTCTTATGAGTTATTCCTGCTTACTATCCATGTTTCATCAAGGCAATCATCACAAGTATACCTGAAGCTATGTACTTACGTGTATAAGTAAGCCCATCAACAAAAAGCAAATGGCTTCTTTGGCTTTATTCTTCTTGGCTTGGAAAAACAGAAAGAGTAGCCTTTTCTAAAACTCTGGCTGGCTGCATTCAAGTCTTTTCAATCCCAAAAGGCACATGTTTTGACATGCACAGTATGAAGAGTGGCCTCAGAACTTAATTACGGGATTCCTGAACATCTTCTGGTTGGAATTTTCTGTCATTTAAGACTATATGCATGTCAGAGAGAGAAACAGACTCACCTAAGGCTGAGGACAACATAGCTTGCTTAGCAATTTGCTCTTATAGTATATTATTATAAAAGATTACAGATTCCTGATTCACAGAAGAGGGGGAAGAGCCATGAAATGCCCATGACAGAAAGTGACAGAAACTCCCAGATCTGCAACATAATCCAGTGTTTACCTTTACCCCTTGGTATGATCACATACATTTCTCCAACTTAAAATATTTAGAGAGAGGAGCTCCTGCTTTAATGGTTTCCTCCAAGATTCCAAATCCTTTTTTCTGGGCCATGTGCTTTCCCAGCACCACTGACATCAGCACCAGCTGAGAAATACTGGAGTTAAAGGTAAGGGCTGAAGTACACACTTTGCAGGTTAATGAAGTGCAGTTGACACTGCCACTGCCACCGCCACCACGGGGACTCCTGGACGCAAAGGGGGTCCTGCAGGCCTTCCCCCGTCACACCACATGAAGAGCCAAAGGCTTCTGTAGCTCAGGGTTCAAAAGGGGAACAGCTGAAAGGGAACCACCTTCTCACTTTTGCAGGGGGGCACCATTTAAACAACTTTTCTTCTCCATTTATTGCATTTTCTCTGATCAAGAAACACAGTTACATTGCTTATCATTCACTGTTCTCACTGATGATCCTCTTAGGTAGTAACACCAATATCACAGGAACCTGGCAGAAAGGCATGTGACATGCCAGCAGCACCTGCTTCCTCTAATCCCTCCATCAGCTGTTGTACTTCCATTGCAATCTAACTCATCATCATCTGTGGTAGTATGTACGCACTGAATTCAGGAAGGATTCGTCATGTTCAAAACCATCGATAACCTGAGTGTTAAGTCTATTTGCATGAAGTGTCTACAAAATATGGAATGTAGCTAGCAGCTAACTGGTGATGTCCACACTGAGACGCTAGAATGATGTGTGTAATCATATTAAAAATGATTATCATATGATAATGAAAAAAATTCATATGAGAGAAAATACTAGGGACCTGGCAGATACAGAGTTCAAGATATTTTGCGTAAAATAAGAAAGCGGTGCCTATTTAGTCAGAGCATGGATTCAATCATTTTACAAATGACAATATGGAGCTAGCTTGACAAGTCCGTCTCTGTCAGCCTAAGGAAAGCCTACCTGGACTAGCTCATTTGACTTCCATGTCATGAAAACTTTCCATAGATTAAACCCTATGTCAAGCAGAAACAGTTTATTGCTAAATAGCTCAGAATAGAGCGTGGAAGATAAGTAAAACTTTTCTTCCAGGAAAGGGTGTTTCATCACTTAGGTTTATACTACATTTTCCCATTAAAACTGTAATCACACACACTGGACTTTCTAGGTGAGATTCATTCATGCACAAGGTACTACACAAGCTGCTGTTAACACCAGCCTACAGACAGCGGTGAATGTGAAGAAAACAAAACACAGGAATACCTACCAAATGCAATCAGCACCAGTGTGTAAGTAGTCAATGTATGGAAGGTGATTTTGGTCTCGAGACCAGCATGAGGTAGAAAAGACCATGCCAATGTTTAGCCAAGGAATTGTCACTCCTAAAACAAAGAGATTGAAAATGAGTTTTGAGTAACTGCGGTTTCTAATTAAAAGACAGTTTGAGAGGGCATTTCAGTTGAAAATCTTGTTCTACCCATGAGCTGACCCTTAAGTTTTACGTCTTCCTATCAGAGTGAATAATTCACAGAGAATAATGTAACAAATTCAGAATTTTCCACTAACAAAATATCTACCAGCCAGTTACAGTGCCCTTGAACATATCTGTTTTCCAATAGCTGTAAAAATTTTTATTCTTTAGAGAATTTACAAATACCCATAATTCAAACTCAATGCCATTGATCAGAGGAGGTTGCTTCATGTTGTCAACATGTAAACAGGTATCCTGTTTCCCAACTGGTTTGTTCAGGCTCAACACCTGCACAGGAGACTGAATTATGCTTTCAGCTAATGTTTCTACCAACAAATTGCAATGGCACAAATGCAGCTGGCGCATTCGTGATGATTCATTTAGAAAACTTGTGTGCTGCTTTGCCCAGCGCTACAGACAATGTTTGCAAGTAAGGAAGTAGCACAGCTCTGTCCTTCATCACCCTGACACAAAGCAAGAACACTGATGTACTGTCAACAACAGAAAAGGATACTGCAAGTACAACTGGTTCCTCTAAGGTATATGGTCTCAACTATTCATTTATGCTTTATCTGCACACCTGCCTTCATTCCTTTAAATGCCACCTGCTACTATACAATTGCGTGTCTACCCAGTCAGCTGGCAAACATAAGGGCCAGAAAGAGGGAGAAGATTTTGGTGACTACACCACCACATTTAGAGGACACTTATACCTGCTGGAAACATAGAAAAGAGACTTGCTTACCAGGCACAGCACCAAGATGTCGCAGGATGGATCCTGTATTATTAGGAAGGACTGTGAGGTTCCACCCATGCCTGTTCGAGGGGTGACACAGAGGCAGACACACGTCAGTGCACGTTCCTGGTGCCAACATCCTCAGTGCCAAGCTATCCTGCCAGCCTTGCACCCCCACCTCCACTCAGCACAATGGGGCAGATGGCATGAGTCGACAAAGCGGGTACATTTGGTGATCTTACCTTGAAAATGGTTCAGATTTTCCCACGGGAAAGCCGCTCCCGTGCGTGTTGGTATCTACTTTTCCACAATGCACTGCTACATGGCAATCTTTCTGTTCCACTATCCGCCAATATTCTTGCTGTGGTAAGATCAAGTGGTAACGCATTTTTAATTCATGGAGCAAGATATCTCTCATTAAAATACAAACCCCAGAAATTTGCAGGGCTTTCATGACCCCAATGTTATTCAACATAAAACAGTTTTTAAAAATAAGAATATAAATACTTAAAAGTAACAATGAATTGGGAAGACAGAATTTAGATCCTTTTGGCTTCTGTGCTTCAGCACATGACAGATTAAGACTTATTTCTCTCCCTCAGTTCATCAACACCTTTATTAAAAATGTAAAAAAATTTTAAAAGGAAGAATCAGTACCATGTCTATCTAACCATTTATTTTTCTCCCACACCAGACAGCTTTAAGCTGCTTTTGGTAATGCCTGAACATCAACTATACTGAATTCCCATACTCAATCCCCTGAAATAAAAACTTTTACCACCCCTTGTGTTGGCCTCACCTCTACTTCAGCTACTGTAGGCTCCTTCGTGAAGCACATGTTCATGATGTTTCTTGCTGTTCGGTAGAAGGTTGTTAAAGAAACAGACCTACCCTGTGGAAAAAGAAAATAAAATTAAAAGTGAAAATAAAAAAGATGCCTCCGTTTCCCATGCCTCACTCTTTTCCTTACATGCTCAATCCCAGCCCAGATCACGGTAGGGGGAAAGAGGACAATGTCTCTAGAACATGTGTGGGTCTAAGGCTCATTTCTTATCTGAGCGAAAATACCTCAAAAGATACAGAAATTTAATCACATTGAATCACCAAACCAACCATCTAAAAGGCCAACTGAACATCCCCAGAAGGCCATGCACACTGCTTTGTCCAGCACGATGCTCTGTGTTTGATAAATACAAAAGATGGACATGGCCCAGCTTTCTATGACAGGTTGCAAAGGACCCAGCAGGCATCCCTACCTGCATTTTACAATCAAATCCAATATGTGATCAAAGGACCATGTGGCTATGCTCTTTACATACAGAGAAACAGGTGAGAAAGACTTAGGAAATTCACAGAAACGTTCAGCATCAAATGATTTGCATTTGATGGAAGGGGGTCACAAAAAGTAGAGTTTACCAAGATTTAGTAATCACCTGCTTACAAAAACCAGTTATGCTCAATTCAAAAAAAGCAGTTCAAATGCAAGGAACCAAGACCTGTTATTACAAGGCTGAGAAAAGTAAAACACAGTAAAATTGCCATTGGCACTGCTGCAGGAACCAGAGGATCCTGAAGAGAAGAGGATCTGACTTGGTTTTCTGCTTGAGCTATACCTAAGTTTCTGGATACCTGCTTTCACACATACCTATAATACTAGATGCTCTGGGAAGCATCCTCTGATGGCTTTGAAGGCAGGAGCACGAGAACCCGCTTGCTCCTTTCAGCCCAGACACACTGGTATGCCCAGACAGGGACACTCCTACCGCCTTCTCCGCTCCAGGGCAGAAGAAACATCCTGGGAAGCTGTGAGCCACGAGAGTTGGCAGGCGCCACACTAGCTGCTGTGGCCATATTGGACATCGCTGCAGGCAGAGACTAGCATTGCTCTGCAAATGTGAAGTTGAAAGAACCTTTACCCTCCTGCCAGATCTACTGCTCCTTCCTCTAACTCCCATCGTGTCCACTGGTTGCCCATCTGAGCAACCACAGACTTAAAAAATCCACATAAATGAACGTTTTATTACTCGGACTATTACCTTTCTAGTTTTTCAATTATGAAACAGATCTGCCAAATCACCTCAGTCTTTTCTTGTGTTTAATTTATTTAAGAACTATGCCCAAGAGTAAACTAGAAACAACTATACAAGCAGCTTTTCCCCCAGAGGCCAAGCCTACCACTTTGCCATATTCCTACAGTTGTAACATTGTCACTTTTTTAATTGAATGCAGCATAATTAGCTGTAACAAAAAAGTTTGTGAAATGCCCAGGGCCTGGGGCCCTCTGATTCCCATAAACTTCAGAGTTGGATGCTCTGCGATACAATAAACAATTTCCTTCATCTTTTAATGCCCTCATGAATCCTTTATCGAGGTAGCCTTTTACAACAAAACCTCTTGTAAAATGCAGGGCCCGCACCAACAGTCATCACACCTGAGCATAGACTTCACTGCTCGCAAACCACCACATGCTCTGCAGCAGCTTCCTCGTTTCAGTTACTTGCCTCTTCCTCTCATCTTACACAGAAAAACAAGAATAAGGACTCATCTTCCAAGATTAACCATGTCTTTCCATTTTTCAGATATGTAGCAAGCAAGAAAAAAGAAAGTGGAAAAACTGAACAGTTTAGCCCTTTAGCATTGCATATACCCATTTCTTCTTCTACCAAGAATTTAGTATTTTTTTAGTCTCCTAAAAGTTGTAACACAAATTAAACGGTTGAGGGGTTTTTGTTGTCTGTTTTTGGTGTTCTGCTTTTGGTGGGGTTTTTTTTTTAATCTGAGGGATCTTATAAAATTTTCTAGTGCCAACTCAGAAAATAATTTAAAGTGCTGTAATACAGCATTTTAACCCGAACACAAAATGAACTGCTGAAGAGTAAAACACCCTTTTCAACGCCCTCACAAATGTCTCAACAGTTCAACAACTGGGAGCTTCAAGCTACTGAGCAGAGTCTCTGTTGCTGCAACAATATGAGAGGAAGGTTTAAGGGACAACATTTCCTATTTCCTCTCCTAATTCTTGTCCATGGCCTCTGTGGCAGCTGTGAGAGCCAACCCAGAGCATCACCACCACCACCAAGCCAGGAGGGAAGGCACAGAGAAGGACACTGCAACGCTACAGATGTTAAAGACATTAAAGCAACCATAAAAATTAGCAGAAAACAGAGATTTCACAATAGTTACAGGAGGGAAGGAGGGACTCCCGTCAAGCAGAGTCCCCGGCTGAAGAGAGCTCAGCATGGGATTTCCAGGACAGTTTCATGTGAGAGCTGGCAAAACTTGCGTTGCTGATTTCTTCTGCATGTCCCTCTAACGGGTCTGCTAATAACCCTTCAGTTTGTTCTGTATGGAAACAAATGCTGTTTTCAGTCAGCTCCAGTACAGTTTTTTAAAGTATTTTCAGAGCTAAAATCGGGGAAAGAAGAGTGAAAATCTTGCAGCAGATCCTTCTCTGATGACAGCAGTTTACTTCACGTACTTACAAACGATGACATTTTATTAGTCAGATGGAAAAGCCATACGCTTAGGAGTAAAGAAAGCAAGCATAGCAGCATGCAGTACACACTTAAAAAGCACAGCAGGCCTTACTGCCTGGAAAGGAGCAACACTGAAAATAATTTGGGAGCCCTGGCATGAAGTCAGCCAAACACAAAGGAGATTTACTCTAACCTTGACATGCGATATGGTGGTAACTGCTCCTGGAAGACTGGATGTCTCTTTCTAAAAACATGTTCCAGCTCAAGCATGTGCTGACTGCAGAAATTACTCTGTGAAATCCTAAATGTATGGCCTTTTCATGGTCTGAAGCACAGACTTTATGGCCTAAACTGGACTACAGCCGTATGATTATGATGTTCTCCTCCAGCCCTCAATCTATTGACCTGGGCATTTATCAAAAGGGTGGGTGGTTTTTTTTGTTTTGTGTGTGTTTTTTATTTTTAATTAGAATTAGCAATATGCTTTGGAAAGGAACCATTACAATCCCATCACCTATGGAAACTGTAACATGAGGACATGTTCTGTTAAACAAATTTCAGATTTTCTCAGAAACATGTTAATAGGTAAAGAACACTCCCCCCTCCACAGACACACGCACAAAAGTATACCATCATTCAAGAAAAACAGAGAATGCAGGATTAAAAAGCTTGTTTCATAAAATGCCATGAAGTACCCTCTGCTTAAAACCATAAGCCAGCACCACCTCACTTCAGTCTTACTCAAAAGCCTAGTAATGAACTATAGTCATTTTACAAGTCTTGTGGTGCATCAGGATTGTTGCGTAATTTCTTATTTCTATGTCTTGAGGCTTGCTCTAAGTGACATAACCAGTTCTCAGGCATCAGTCCTTCTACAGGCTGTCCCCAAAGTGCTGTGAAAATGAAGGTATGCGCCTCTCTCTGCACTCAGACTGACCAGGTGCCCTGCAGGGTGCTCTACCACAGAGATCTTTCCAGAAACTCACCACAGATTTGCTTCCCCCCCCTGTTTTCTCCCTGGTCCATCGCCTGTGACAGCAGTCCCCAGTCTCTGCACCGCAGGTGAGCATGGGATGGGATTCAAACAGACAAGCCACAGTGTCCAGGAAGCTGCTGGCACTGTGGTGGACAACTGGAGATGTGGCCTGAGCGGCTCCATGGGCTGCAGCTGCTTTGGTGGGTGGGGAGAGCACTGGCCGGCAGACAAGCGATGCTCGTCTCCAACAGCTTCTATGCTCAGAACAAAAGTATTTCTACCGGGTATTGTTGGACTCATACAGGGTCTGATGCTGTCAGTACTGCCAGTGCTTTTTGGGCAGTAGCAGCAATTTGGGACAGCCTTTTGCGGTAAAGGCCTGGGGCTCAGCAGACTCAGGCTGGTTATACTAGCTGCGCTTTGCTTGCTTGCCATTTTTTATTTTCCAAGTCTGATTAGGGTACTTATTACAAATCCCAAACTTGCTTTTTGAGTTACTTTCTATCTTCTAAACTTTAACTTGGGACTTGCACTGGAAAAGAAGATGGAGGCATTTCCCCACTAAGTTTGAGGTTGTTCATACAACAGTCAGGGTAAGTTGTATCAAATTTTTCATTTAACATCATTAGGCACAGGCTATTAAGCACAGAAATGCCACTTCACTATTCACAAATGCTGCTGTCATTAGATAAGCTTCTCTCCAACAGCAGCATGGCAAAGAGATTGCTTTTCCAAGGTGGGATTGAGGCTGGAGTCCCTGAGTAAAAGAATTTTTGGGCTGACAAATCATAACAGGCTGCAAAAGAAACCTGAAGCAAGTTTTTAAAGCTCAAGTCATGAGCTCATGCAGTCCCTAAATAGCTTAACAATAAGTGACTTTGGGCTATCTGGCTTCATTTCCTGGTGATGGAAGTGAGATTGGAAGGGGAAGAACAGCGTATTCCTTTACTGGGCACAGACACTCAACGCCATATTTCTCTCGGAGCATGGCTACACAATTCAGTGCAACTCAAAATTGCACTGCGAGTTGCAGTGCCAAGTCCTGCTCCAGAGTAGGAGACTGCCAAATAAAATACAGTGAAAGAGTCAGCATTCCTTCGTAAATGGATGTACTTGATATGTGGAGAACTAAGCGCCCATATGACTGTTAGTGCTGAGTAAAATCTGGCATCGTGGATGAAAATATTGTTTGCATTTCAATTTGCCCTTTCTAAATGTAGTAGTATTTCTAGTGATGTTAGTTTTGATGTGGAGCACTACTTCACTCAACAAGAGTCTTGCAAGAAGGAGGAATGAGAAAGCAGAACATTACTTTAAATGTCACTAGAAAATTAGAATAAAAACTGTGTCTGCAAGGATAATTGGGCAGAGCTATTCAGGGAACCTGTCACAAGGAGACGAAGGGGGGCAGAGCCCAGTGCATCTCGTTATGACAATAACACCTTCCAGCTTTTCCAGACATCCCAGGAGAGCCAGGCAGATCAGAATAAAGCCACCAGACCGCCCAGCTCCGATAGCCGCTGGCTGCGCTGCTGCCTTCGGGGTGGCACTGCAGCCATTGGCTCCCCCCAGCCAGCTGGGTTTGCACCCAGATGCCACCCAGACAACAGCATCATCAGTTCTGCAAAACAAAATCGGCAGAGCCTGCCTTGTTACCTTGTATATACACTTGTGTAAGTCGCTGAGAACTCCCTCCTCCTCCTCCTCGTCCTCCTTCGTGGTCTCCTTTTCCTGAGCGAAGAGCCGCCGCCTGCCCGTCTTCAGTGGGACGTCGACCTCTTTTAACTTGTTGCGGAAGCCATTTTTGTGAACCACGCCGTTGATGAGTCCATTTTTGGGCTCAAACCGGGGCAAGGAATGGAACTTGTAGGCATTCTCCGAATGTCCCTCCAAAGGTCCTTTCCTCTTCTCCAAGATTTCCTTTTCCAGCAAGACTTCCTTCTCCAGTTTCTTGTGCTCCTCAGGGGAGAGGGAATCGTAGGAGAGCAAGGCAGTGGGCTTCTTGCAGCTTCCCCAGCCTGTCCTGTGCAGTTTTGGGGATGCGCAGCATGTCTGCCAGCTTGTTCCATTTCTTGAGGTCAGTCACTTGCTGCATCCCCCCCATCTCGTTGATCAGCTGGACGAAGCAGGCCAGGTCGAGCTCGCAGCCTCCTGCGGTCCACGTGTGCCAGGCAGCAGAGGACGGGAAAGGGAAACATAGGAGCAGATTAGGAAAGCTGCGGGTGGCTCACATCAAGCGTGCTACCAGACTGGGCACATACGGGATGTGCCACCCATACAGCTTCGGTCACCTGGGCACCAGAGCAGGATTGTCCCGGTCTCGTACGCCTCCTGCTAAAGATAGGCGTGCGCCACTGTTTTGCTAGCTTAATTCATTCAGCAGATCATATTTTGCTATTTTCAATAGCCTTCCCTATGGTTAAATTTGCTCTCCTCCTTAAGTTTCATTCCTTTCTCTTCTCAGAGCACCCCCAGCTATCTCCTGACAAAGCGTCTTTCCCCTGGTCATTACCCAGTGATCAGGGAGATGAGAGTTGCCCAGCTCTTTAAAAGCCCGCACACTCCCACCCTCCCCTCACCCACCACCAGTCCCACATCTGGTTTATACCAGGAAGAAGCAAAAAAAGTGTCAAAATGGATATTGGCAATCGAAAAGATAAGTACCTATCCTTTCTGGAGGTGAAACATCAATTATCTTATGTCTGCACAACACTTTGAATACAGTTAGTATTTAAAAGGAGCACCGTAACATCATTAATTTCACTACAGGTAGAAAAATCCTTAAAAAAAACCCAAGGGAGGCAGGGGTTGGTGCCTGCAACTGCATAAAAAAAGTTCCAGACACATTATTCTTCCAGTTTGAGGCCATCCATATTTTATACTCCATTATGGTTTTGTACATTTTAAGATGACTAGCACATTTCACACTCCAATCAAAAAATAAAAATAGAGGATTATACAAACTGCAGCACAAAAAGCAGCCAAATAGATGAGGAACAATAAAAGAAACATCATAAATACTCTCAAAGCACAGAAATAAATCATCAGTAGAAAGAGTGAAGAAACGGACCAAAGACCACCTACAATTCAACAGGGCACTGCTCAAGGAAAAAAGAAAATTAATACAAAACTTGCATCAACATCACTGCCGCCACCTTGTCTCTCCTTCCCCTTTTTCTTTGAGAAAAGTAAAAAATCATTATGCCATAGCCATTTCAGAGCATTTAGACATGCTATTACACAACAGAGAAGTGCAAGAAGCAGCATTATGGTAAATATTTACTGTCAGCTGTATAGCTACAGCATCTTAAGGGCCAGTCATATCATCTTGCTTGCTAGTGCAAGCAGTATTACTTTCTTCAAACCACCCTGGTGCTGCATCTCAGATGCTTCATAGCTGATCCCAATTTTCCTTCTTCTCTCTGCTTTCCCCTCTTCCACCTCTTGTGCCAATCCAGTGAGGAGGGAGGCTCAGTGTAAACCTGCGTGCAACATTTTGGGATGACAACAGTTGTGCCCAAGGCAGAGCAGTGCCAGAGGCTGCTTGCTAATTCTGCCCGCACAGCGCTGGGCAAAGCCAAAACCAAGGGTAAGGCTTTGAGGAGCATATGACAAGGGTGGAGGCAGGGCCATGGGGCAGCAGATATATCCAATTTAGTAAATTTTTTTTTTTGGGGGGAGTGGAGGGAGGGATCAAAATGGTTAAGTCTTGAAGCTGAGAAAAGGTAAACACCACTGGAAAAAAAAAAAACAAGTTTGAAATGTTTTCTTTCTTTCCTCTTTAATCTTCCCCACAAAATAACTTTTAAGCTAGCCTTTATTACAGGCTGTTACTTTTTTGGTCTAGTGTTTTATATGCACAGTTCACAAATAAGCTTGAAGGCATAATTCAAGATGGCTTTCCATCCCAATAGATTCAGCGACCCACATAAAGTTGAGTAACATAGTCCTAACTTTGAAAGAAGTGTGGTCCAGGTTTAACGTTATACGTGTTCTCCGGGGGGACACCCAGATTAACGTCCTAGTTTCAACACTGTTTATGAGCTATTTAAGAAATGCGATTTTCTCCCACATCATGGAATGATCGCTCATAATCACTCTGCAATATTAGAGCTCGAGTAGCACATCATTCAACCAGAGCCTCACTTATCTGGCAGATCCTCCGTAGGGCCAGCTACAGCTAAGGTTTACAAAATGGTCTTGATTATAATTCCATTTCACACAGTCATAACTTTTGGAAGCATTTACATCTCAGGCTGATGTTTTCCAGGATTGACCTAAGCATGTTGTTTAAAGCTTCCTTGAAAGGCTGCAGAAGGAGAAAGGAGAAAAAAAAAAAAAAGGGTGGTGGTGGTGTTTAACCCCATTTATAAGCACCTATAGCAAAATGGCTTAAATAGGAGACATGCACGTTATGCAGAAATAGCGTCTGACTTTTTTTTTTTTTTTAATTGTCTTAATTTCACTAAGTTAGGAATATTTTTAAATTGCCTAGTGAGCAAGCTCATTTAAAAAAAAAAATCTTAAATCTTCAGGTATGCATTTAATACCAAATGCTGGCAGTACACAAGTTGTTGGCAAAACTCCCACTTACTTCAATGGAAATGTGATTTGGCCCTGAAAGGAGGGATATGTATGCATGTCTACTTAAATAAGTGTGCATTTATCACCACAGATTATTTTACATCTTTCCTTCTGGAACCAACAGATTTCTCATCTTTGTATATGATGATCTCCAGCTTCTTTTCTCCATTTTGTCTTTAATTTTAAACAGAAGATAGGTAGGAAATTAACTGCAGAAAGGATACATACAATGCAGATTTTATAAGAGACCACTGTTTGCTCTGGTCATATGGCACCCAGCAGAATAGAATCCTTGCCTATTAATTAGGCTCTTAGGTGCTTAAATAATACAAATAATTAACAGTAATGCCATCTTAATGTCGAGTTAAGGTATTTCATTAAAAAGTTAACATTGTTCCAGGAGCGTTAATCGAGCTGTCTTGCACATTTTCTTCTCTCTCTTGCCAATGTAAATTTAATTCATTATTCTTCTCTATTAGCATACAACCATTGCATACATTAGGCATACAAAATGTTCACTTATTGCTGCTTGAGTGATTTTAATTTTCAGATTTCCTTGAACGTTTTTGCATGGCTATTGCAACAGAGTGCTAAACCTCGTTCCTCCTCCTTAAAATCTGTCATTTCTCTGTTGTGCCCTGCATCGGTTCACCAAAAACTCTGCAATCTCTTTGTGTGCTTTTATGCATTTTCACTCACTTACCATATGTGATATAAAATAAAGTTTGAAAACGGGAGGGAAAAAAGTGTTGTGAACAGTTTAAACAGAAAAGTGTGTCCTTTAATCCATCTAGCGTTGATAGCTGCCTCCAATCGGATAATGCCTCAAAGGCAAAACTCTAGCCTCAAGTTGCAACATGCAGGTCCTGTGAGCTCTGACTCAAAACACTTCAAAAACAAAGGGAAGGGTTAACAAAAATTAAAAACACAAGTTTGTTACTATGTCATGGCTGCAAAGGCAGTAGAGATGGAGGTGGCTCATTCAATAGTTCATTTGTATGCTGCTGTTGTCATGTTTTTACAAACTATTGTCACTTTTTTGTCACGTGTCATATTTGACAGCAGACCATAAACCAAGAATTCTGTTAAATAAGTGATTCTCACTCAGGCATTAGCCCTGGCAGACACCTGCTGGGAGAAATAATGAAACCTCCATTTTGCAATCAACCACATTTTACTGCCTATTCTTGACACTTAATGGTTGTTAAATGTCAGCAGGTCACTGCAAATTCGTAATTTTAAGTGTCTGAGTACCCAAATAGAAGTCAGTTCCGAGATATTTTCTTTCCCCCTTGGTTAAATGCTTTTAAAGGAATGGGGGGAAAAAATATATTTGTATTAAAGCTTGGCAGCATTGCAACCTGTTTGGAAAACATCTTTGGAAAGGTGCGAAAAATATTCTGAGGCAACATTTAAACCGAGGCTATCAATATCCATAGTTGTACTACCTACAAAAATAAAAAGCAAGGAAAGGAGAAGATCCTGAAATCTGGAGACCAGGACCCCACATAGCATTTTTTTCCCTGGGTGAAATAAAGAGCTGGCAGGAGGAAAGTGGAAAGTCTCCCTGGAAAGCTCTCTGACAACCTACCTGCATTGTGCCTGACCGATGGATAAAGAGAAAGATCCAGAGCTCTGCAGTGTTAATTGAACAGGGGTTCGGTTAAGCATAAAGGCAAACGGAGCATAAAGTTGTACGGACACTAACAAGCAGCGGCAAAAGGCCAATGAAACCACAGCCCTTACCTATGAGTGGGAGTTCGTCCATGGTAATGCCCTGAGATTTGAGGTGCTTCTTGATACAGGCCAGCCGCTGCACGTTGGGTCCCCAGCGCCTGCCTAGCTTGTGTATGTGCTGAATCTGTGTCACAAACCGCATTTCATCATTTAGCTTGCACTCAGGTCTCCAGTCTGGAGGCGGAATCACCCTGCACATCCCATACTTCTCTACCTGAGCTCGGACTGACTCAATGTATATCAGTGGGTCATGAAATTCCTTGGTGGAGGGCCTAAGGATGGGAATCTCCCCCAGCATCCCCCACCCAGACTTACTACTGCCCTTTTCGTGCTTTCCCATTGAGTCTTGTGGCTTGTGCAAGGACTCCGCTTGAGAGGTAGAACGATTTTCACAGGAGGCATTTTCAGTTTTGCCATGTGCTTGTTTCCCTGGCATACTCTTTCCAGCAGTGGCTCTTTTCGGCCTATTTCTTTCCAAACTCTTCTCTGGCACTTCCTTTTTAAGGTGTCCATTCAGCAAAGGCTTTTCTACAGCTGCCTTTTTGCTGGCAGCTTCTGCCAAGTTGACGGCCCCTTTCATTCTCTTGGTGGGCGACTGTATTTTGTCTATGTGATTCGTCTCTTCCAGCCTCCTCTTCGAATTGCGCAGCCCCTCCCTTAACTGTCTCCCCACCTCCTTAGTGCATGTCTTTTGGTTCAACTTGCCATTGACTTTTACACCATTAACAGCGGTATTGTTAGACTTGGATGCTCCAAGGGATAGCACCTGTTTGCGGGTTTTTGCATTGCTACTTTCTATTTTCCCTGAGATTGTGTGGTTGACAGGTGAACTGGGTTTGTGGTGATTTAGTTTGGTTTCCTTGACCAGTTCTTTCTTGGCTTTGGTGTATGTGACAGTTCCCTTTGTCACTGTTGCAGTGTACTTCACAGTTTTGGACGGTGAAGGTCTGACTTCTCTCATCTTTTTGGCACTGGCTGCATTTGCACTCGGAGATGACATTCGAGTGATCCCGTTGACTTTAGAAACCTGCAATGCCAGGAGTGTTGCAGGGGGAGCAGAAGGAAGGAAACAGAAAACAGAAGTAAATTAATAATGTTACCACTCAGCCATGGCGTCCCAGTTGCTGGACAACCATATTCTGCAGTCCTGACTCCTGGCCCCCCTTCATACAATCATAACAGTTTTCACCCAGGCAAGAGGAGCAACTGGGCATTTATAATAAACATAAAATAGAATTTTTTTTTTAAAAAAAAAGAGCCAAAAAGTCCCCAGAAAGCCAATCTTGCTTTTGGAGGGTACAAAGCCTCTGGGTGAGGTCTCTTGCTTGCACTACCCCCCTTCCTTGCCTAGCAGAAAGCCTGTTATGGTATCACAAAACACAGGTAGTCTGATTTACAAACTAATACTTTCATTATTTCCTTTTCTGGCCCTCAGACATTCTCTCTCTCCCACCCAACTTCCCTTAAGTGCACACACAGTTTACTACTCCTTAGCAGACAAACTAGCCAGTGTATACTATCTACTCTAACTGGAATGGGCACGTTTTGCAAAAAACACACACTGAGATTCAAACCAACCACCTGTCTATACATACATACATATAAAAAGAGATATTGAACACATTATGCACCCAATAGATCAGGATGGCCATGAAGGATCCAGTCTGTCATACATATTAAATCTTGGGAGGCATCTTGTTGCTGAAGTCATTATTTGAAATAAAAATGTATACAGTAGTTCAATGTATTTTTTTAAAGTTTGATATCTGGGCAGTTTTGCTGACATACATTTTATTACATCATATTCATCACTAATGTGACACTGCAACTTTGAATTGCTGGACTCCACTGCTTTCTGTTAGACATTTAAACCCAGCTATGAATGTAAAATTTACATTTTAACTATAAAATAGTGTTAAGCACTGAAAGCAACCCGCAGCTTCGAAGGGAATTGTGATGGCTCAGCACTGCCAAAGCTAAGCCCCACTACTAAGAAAATGAATTTCAAGTTTAAAATGCAAACAAATTTCAGTATTTAAACAAGTTTAAACATTGTCTTCTCACCTCCTTAAACCACTGTGAATGCAGAAAAACATATCAAAAAATCAGGAACATTGATAAAAGTGCTCAAAGTGAAAGCATACAGTACAATCACCCCTCCTCAGCACTCAGGTGAGTAACACCATTCCTGCAACATTATAATACTTCCCTGTGGGATTTCAAAATACTTGCCAAATTAGTAAGCATGGCAGCTTCTCTCAAATAAATGCAAGAATTGTAGTCACTTCCAAAGTAGGGATAAAATGTTACAAAACAGGGATCAAATAGAAACTGCAAAGATCATGCTATGGTCTTGTATTAAATGACTTGCGGAGCAGGAACTGGAACCTGGGGATTCTGCATACACACACACGCGTACGTGTATACACACATTTACTGTGTGCATTTTCTCTGTGCTCCGAAAGTTGGAGCAGGAGTAATGCCCTTCTAAAACCCATCCATATTCTTGTCCTTCCTGTGTTCCACGGTAGAAACACTTAAGGAAAATCCAGTTAACTGATGACGTGAGTTTTTACCTTGAGTTTTCCAAAGACATATGAGGTATCATCTGGAAAGCAAACACTTGCTAACAGAAATGCACTTAGCAATTTCCCTTGAAATTTAGGCAGTACTCTGCATTTGAAATGGAGGCCTGGGTTTGACTTTTACAGCGCTTTTTCATGCCACAAAGCAGACATGGGTAGAGAGCTGCTGAGACCTTGCCTCCTGCCTGCAGCAGTCAGAACAAGAGTTGAACATCTCTGGCTTTATAAATAGCCAGGAACATTGATTACGGATTTCATCTAGACTAATAGAGAAGAATTGATTGAGAACTGGGAGGGGAAGGTAATCTGGGTGACAGGGATCATGAAATGAGTTTTCAATTCTAAGATGTGACAACAGTTTTCAATTCTAAGAGAAAGGACAACAGACTTAAAAAAAAACAACCCAAACCCCCAAAAAAACCCACAAACAAAAAAACCCAACAAAAAACAAAACAAAACAAACCTGAAAAAAACCCAAACCAAAGCAATTCCCACTCAGAGGAAGGGCGCAACGCACAGGCCATTATGCCTATTCACAAGTTCTCTAATGGCTGGAAAATTAGAAAAGAATCACAGTAAAAAGTGGAAACACGATTAGGTGACTAAGGGCAACTATATAGGAACAGCAAAAACATGCATGGGTAAAATCAGAAAGGCCAAGGAGCTAAAGAAACTTCAGTTAGCAAGGGACATAAAATGAAACAGAAAAAATTTTATAAATACCTTAAAAATATAATGACAACAAAGAACAGCAGAGATCAACCACCACACAAGGAAGGAAAACAAATGCAACAGTTTGGCTAAACTGTTCGTGCTTCTTTTGCATTGGCCTTCACCAAAAGTACCACTGACTGAATACTTACCAGATATATAACATAACCAATTTCAGCAAAAGAGCTAGAAAGGCAACCCCAGCAAGCTAAAGTGTACCTAGATGACTCAGGGCATGGGTCCTGGAAATAAGTTGAGGGCAGGCAGAGCCTACCTAACTTTAAACCCTAGAATCATTCTGGAACAAATCATCAAACAGTTAATTTGTAAACACACAAACGATAATACGATAATGTTAAAAACAAAAAAATTATAAAAAAAACAAAACAAAACAAAAACATCCATAGTTTTGCCAAAATAGCACATCAAGCTAATTTAATCATCTTCTGACAGACACCTGGCTGAGCAGGTAAAGAAGCACCTCTGTTTCAGTAGGGCTCCAGTCACTGTCCCACATGATGTTCCATCAAACAAGCTCCTGACACACGTCCTAGACATAATTACTCTCAAGTGGCTTCACAAGGGATTAAATAAAGTCTTCCTCAAGAGAAGTTATCGTTGTCATAGTTCACTGCCATCCTGGGGGGAGGCATTTCAGGTGACCTTCTGCAAGGACTTGTCTTGGCCTTGGTTCTACGAAGTACTTCCATCAGTAACTTGGATTATCGTAAAATTTGCCACTGACACACACCTGGAAGGGGCTGTAAGCACTCTGGAGACAAGGTCAAAATCAAAGGCAATCTTGAAGAACTTATTTCAGAGCATTTCTACAATAAGAGGAAGTACTATTTTTAGGAAGGACAAATCAAATACATGTAGGAAAGGAATAACATTTGGGGACCACAATGAGCTGCAAAACGCGATAGTAGTACAAAGCACGCGAATCACTTTCTGAGACCTACAATTAAGAACGCCGAAAGCAAGGGATGGGAGCACAGGCTTTCCTATGCAGAGCTGGACCCAGCATTGGGCCCACACTGCAAGAAAAATTTAGACAGTGGAGAAAGTCCAAAAGAGCACAAAGTGCTCAGGTATTTGGAAAATATGATCTTTATTCAAAAGCCAAGGTAGCTGGGCTTATTTAGTCTGAAAGAGATGACTCTGGGACAACCCTATAACAGTCTTCCAATGCATAAGGAGCTCCTCTGAAAAGAGACAGTAAATGCTCTTTCCATGCTCACTGGGAAAAACGGGAGAAAAAAACCTTTAATTGTCTACAATGATGATCTGAGGCACAACTAGGAAAACTTTCTCATTGGTAGAAAAGGAGAATGCTAGAAGAAGCTGTCAATGGACGTTGTGGAGTCTCCTCTACGGGAGGTTTTCCAGAAGGCCATAGCTGTATTACTGTGCTGTCAGGTACAGTCAAGACCACATCTCAGAGTGAGCAGTCAGGCTGTATAGAAGTACCTTGTCACTCCAGCCTTCCTATGATTTTTTTTTTGAAGAAGTGACCAGAAGACTGAAGGGCCATCCAGGGCACTCCTTCAGGAAGGGGCCTGAGAACAAAACGCAGTCATGGAGAAAGTGCTCATGGAGAAAGGCAAGATCCTCACAGCTCCTCCTCTTCAAAGGAAAACATGCCATCAGCACCATCAGCTTTAGGCCAGAATTAAAACTGCCAAGATACAAAACTCTGGAAAACTGAATTCATTAAGAAAACAGCAACTTATCACAACTGTTTAGAGTTGTTAGAATACCTCCACATAACGAAAGCTTAGATCTCTCAGAGCCAAATCTTGAACTGAACAGGTACATAAGCTTCGGCTATCTAACTTCCAATCCTAGATTATAAGCACACTATTTTGAGTTTTTATTCAAACTTCGTGAAGTTATTCCAATGACGAACAGGTCCTGAAGTAGAGAACACTTGGCTTTGAGAATACCATAAGGAATTCACTTACTTCTTTCTGGTTGCTAACTAAGGAGACCCCACAAGAAAGAAACACTGCTGAAAACTTCCTCAGGACCATCATCTTTCTAGAGCAGACACAACACGATGCTTTTCAAATGCTTCTCCCTCTTCCCTCCCCAAATGCCCACAGGTATCTTAAGTGTTTTCAGAGAGGATAGCATAATGTTTAAGATACAGCAGTACTACATAGACCAGAACAGACCACGCTTCAAATGGGAATAGGCTGCAACAAATGTCTTCCAGCTGGAAACAAGTGGAACAAAAAACGTGGTCATAGCCCACCATCAAAGCAACAGGTGGATACAGGATTTCACACTGACAAATGTGAAATTCTGGCTGGTCAGTCATCACCTACACGTTCCTGGTCTGTACTTGTCTCTGAGGACCCATGAGACGATTGGAACCAAAAGAAACATGAAATTTTGGTAGGCATTTTCTTACCTTTCTACTGTTGATATGTGTCCCCCCAAACCAAACATACACACACAGAGTTAGCCTAAAAAATTGGCCACACTGCCAGGTGCGCAGGTTCACCAAATGGGGGTCTATGCCACAGCTCCATCCCGAGGCAGTGCTTACACTGAGCACATAAGAAAGAAGTCAATTTAATTCAAATAGTAACAAAGTGATTGACATTAGCCTTACATGACTCAAAGTCTTGAGCTAAAGGTGAAACTAGGGATATGAATAATCTTATTTATTATCTTTGCTTTTCAGCTATCTTCTCAGTTTTGCTGACATAAATATTTGTCTTCAGACCACTCTTTTCTCCACTTTACTGAACACTTGCCTTGCAGTAAAAGATGGTATGATAGATTTTAAATTTTGCTGTCTTTTAAAAAGCAAATGGGACCAGCACATAGTCTTGCAGCAATTTTTTGTTGGATTTGAACTGGTCTACATACACACCTCCGCATGGCACCTAGAATCCACCCTCCAGACACACACACACACACACACACACACAAAATAAAGCCAACAAACAACTTGTTGGATAACAACCACAGTAATAACAGCAACATTAGCAATACCAACAACAGGTTTGGTCCCAAACAAATTCAAGTTATACAACTGATCTCAAATTCATTCATAAAAATACTTCTGTGTTGGTACAAGTTTTGCAGAGCTAAATTACCACATGAGGCCGAGAGAGGGCCCCATTGAACTACATTTCCTTTGCCCACAACCCCTTTGAAGTAGGGGATTTGGGAAGATGATAGCAAGAGAGGAAGAAAGAGAGAGAGGGAACACGTGACAAGTGCAAGTGCACACCAGAAAAGGAAAGAAAGAATGAGAGGAAAAAAGAAAATCTCGGATAATTTCTAGTGTTCTGCCTTTATTTTCTGTAAAACTGAACAACAGAAAAACACACACATAAATGAACCATGTAAATGCACGTGAACAAGGAGCAAAAACATACTGGAAGGAGGAGGAACATGTGGCTGGCACCCGGGGAAAACAATTCTCCTTTTGGAAAATACTGAAAATGTCAACAAAGACTCAGGACAAGGGCAGGGAATTTAGCAATGTCACATAACTGGTAAGTCTAAGCTTTTGTACAAAGCTAAGTCTTTCTGTCAGGCAAAATGTGTAATACACCTTTAATTAGTTACAGCCACATTTTCACTAAAATTGGTAAGAAACTACTTATGTTACTGTGGGTTGCAGAAGAAAATTTAAATGCCTAACCTTTTAAACAAACAAACAAAAAAAAATCATCATCTCAACTTACAGCCTCCTTATTTTCTGAAGCTTGAGGACCACGCTCTGTGAGGTGTCTGTGTGGTGAGACTGTTGGTTATACTGCATTGCTTTAGAATTTCTCTCTGTTTTACATAGCACAATTTAAAACATCTAATACTCTACAAAGCAAAACCCACCTGGATCGTGGACAAAATTCTTCTACACCTGAATTTTCCCTTCCCAGAACTACCTTCACAAGTGATGGCAGTTGACTTTCACAAGAATTTTAACCATTCATACTTTGATGATACAACTTTAAAGCATTTCACACAAGTGTTTGAGTGAGTTAAAATAATTAAGTATGAAGTGCATCCTTACGTTTTGGGAAACTTGTTCAACATGAAGAGCTCATGGCAGAGCATGTCACAGCAAGGACCATAGGATGCTGGTATCACAAAAAAGAAAGCCGAAAGGATGCAGAAGGCGGCAGGCATTCAAGCTGATGACTAGATAAGCAAAAATTGATGTGGGAGAATAAAGAATGGAAGTCTTACAGAGGTACAGAGAAATATACTGTAGATAGTCTTCAGGATCTCAAATTTTATTTAGAAGGTAATACAAATCCAGTGGAGGCATTTCAGGAGAAGCTAAACATCACTGAAGCACAGGGCATGGAAGGTTTCCTCGGCAAGAGAAACACTGTTTTACTTTTTGCCATTTTAAATTTCCAAGCCTATGACTGAGAGGTGCCATTTAAGGCCTTGACGGCCCTACAAGATGGCAATTCCAGTTCCACTGAAGTCCAGGCCAGCCTACTTAGAAGAAAATCCTTTAGATGTCAGCAAATAAAGACTATCTCTAATTGGCCTGTTGAGAATTAACCACTGAAAAAAAAAAAAAAAAAAAAAAAAGGCGCAAGTGCAGCAAGCTTTCTGTACTGCATTGCCCTAAAGCAGGTACCCTGCTAACCCAGCCCCAGACTGAATAAGGACATTGACCAGGGATTTTGAAAGTCTTTTATAAAAACTTATTTGACAGTTGCTATTTTAGGAGCCCTTTGATCCAACCATCAAAAATATATGGAGACGCATCGTGCCCAAACGCCAGTCACAAGCACCGAATGATTGGTCTGCTAAACTTCCACACCCAAATCCAAGTCAGGCTGAGACAAACCTCTTGCTGGATTTTTTTGCTAGTTTTCAACAAGGTAACACAGAACTTTGAATTTCTCCCCACCTGGTATGTCCACTGCGAAGGAGGCAATATCCCGGAGCACCTTCTTTATGCATCGGGCAAAACATTTTTCCCAGACTCCAAGGTTTGTGTTGCCCACATGCAATACAAGACACTGAGCGTAACGTCAGCTTCTCTACAACGCCAGTGAGCCTCTAAGATAACCTGAGCAGACCAGCCGTACACAAAAGGAGTTCATTTTTCCACATGCTGCCAGCCTTGGCACTGTCAGCAGAGAGGCCAACAAGAGTGCCAGTCAGAAAGGTTTAATAAATAGCAATGTGAACTTTACTCTTTCATATGTATACACTGGATAATATAAAGCCAGGGTTGTAAAGCATGCTTCATCATACTGACTTCCTATGTATGTACCACTTTTCTTTTTTCCTTCTTTCTCTCTTTCTCTCTCTTTCACTGAAAATTAACTCCCTGCTGTCTCCAGAGCACCCTTTTAAGGATTGCCATGTTCCCTCTGTGCCAGGCAGTGGAAAACAGAGCTAGCACCTTAAAAGTCTGCGTTCCCATGTGTCCACAGTAGAGTACAACTCATTACCTGTTTCCTTAAGTCCTGAGCCGATCTATGAAGAGTGTGGTGGTTGTTAGCAGTGAGCCCTTTCGTAGAGGAGCCAGTGTTTGTAGTAGGATGGTGATTAGCAGCAGCCTGGTCTTTTCGGCTCTCAGCCTTATGTTCGCTGTTCCTCTCCTTCCCTGGTGTGGCCTCTTTGCTTTTGTGTTTCTGAGCAGGTTCTTTCTCCTTCGATGATTTGCTGGACCCATTGAAAACTGAGAAGAGAGAAAATCAGACTGTTAAGGAAAAAAAACAAACAAAAAAAAACCAAACCCAAAAAAACCACAAACAAACAACAGAGGACCAAACTCTTCATTCAAAACAACCCAACTTTCTCTGCTGTCATTGTCGGATATTTAGTGAGCATCCTCTTATATCTAAGGTAAAATTAATACAGAAATAGAAGGACTATTTTGCATATTTCTTTATATGAACAGATTTACTAAAGTATTTCCCTTGCTTGTTAACACACATTATCTTCAATATCCAAATTAAAACATACAAGGTATATTACTGTTTTGATTGACCTAAATTTAGACTTATCAGTTTGATTTTTGTTCATGACAGTTTTAATTAACTTTTTGCTGTTGCAGTAAGGGAATTCTAAACATAACCCAAACAGAAAAAGGATTTATTTTTACATTAATGTAAAAGAAAGGAAACATTGCATGAAAAAGCATGTTTTGTCTTCATCAATATCCAAACTGCTGAA